TTAAAAGATCACTTATAAGGTGATCATGTCTTAATTCCTTTTTCCTGTGTAATCATCATGCTTCAAAAACTCATTAATCCAGCATTTAACAGGGGAAATGTAACTATTAAGAGTGTCTTCTATTCTCATTTAAGCAGGGGGGGAAGGGAAGAAAGAGAGTGTCTCAGAGAATGAGCTCCTTTCAATAGGTAATGAAGAATTTACTGGAATAGGTGATGATTGCTGAACAAACCATTAAGAATCATACTCCAAAGTTTCACCTGAGAAAAACAAGGATTTGGTGGCTTGATCTGAGTATTATGAAACAGTTGTCCATTTTTTCAGGTCCTAATGCAGCAAAATTTTTAATTTTTCTTCACTGATTAAAAAAGGGCAGCTCCCAAGAGGTGATGGCTGTAGAGGCTGGATCACTTTTGCAGTGAGTGGACATCTTTGAATCAAAAAGGCAAATCTAATAAGAGCCATTAAGAGACCATGTGTTTGGGTCTGAAAGACTCATCCACCCTATTTTTGAGACTCTCAGAATTCCAGAAAGCCATAGGAGCAATGGCATGGGCAAGCCTCTTCTTGGGAACAAATTATAGCACTTTTCCAGTTATTTGAAAAAGATAAAGTGATCCTGAAAGGCAGAACAAAAGTAGCTGTAGTTTGGGGAATTCCCTTAGGCCTGCTAACTACTTTAAGAGGGGGAGAAGCTTGCCAGAGCTGTAGATTCCAGAAAGATCTTTGAAATTAGTGACGGTGTGGAACGAGGCGTACAGCTAGTTCGGATTAGAAGCCTAATCCGAACTAGCTAGTCCGGGCCACGTGTAGCCACGCGGCACGGGGTCCGAACTAGCCGGCATTTAAAAATGGCGCCGGCCGCTTCATGCAAATGAAGCCTGGGAAATTCAAATCCCGGGCTTCATTTGCAACTGCGGATGACTACATTACCCCCGCTAGTTCGAACTAGCGGGGTAGTGTAGACATACCCTTAGAGTCCTGAGCTTTCCCTCAAGAAAATCCTTCTTCCACTGAAATTAAGTTTAAAATCCAAGAAATAGAAAAAAAATGACTCTTAGTCCTAAAATCCACTTTCATAGTCTCTGGCCATCTTCACTCTATCCATTCTTACTGTTTGCCCTGGCCATCAAGCACAAAACAGCGTAAGATCCCCATGAAAAGCACTGTTATCAGCTGTCACTTCTTCATAGCCTGCCCCAAGTAGGAATGTGAATAAAGCATGTTAAAATGTGGTTACTTTCCTAATCAAGTAGTTAATTGATAGATTTTTTTTTTTTTTATTGACAACTCGATCAGTTGACAAGGATAGTCAATTCCAGCCTGCAGTCTGGCTCACACCGGTCCCGGCATAACCTCCCCTGCTGCTGCTCCACATTGCAAGGGACAGGGGAGCTGACACGCAAAGATGCTGGTTCAATCCCTGCTCCCGCAGGTCTCTGAAATTTGATCAGACACCGACGGGAGCAAGGATCGAGGCAGCGTCTTTGTGCACCAGCTCCCATCCTTCAATACCGCCGCAGTATGGGGTACAATGTGACTGGTCAATAGTGCTAACCAATAAGCTCCTACTAACCTACTATTAGTAGACTAATAGTAGGTTAGTCTACTAGTCGCTTTCATTCTTAATGTGAATGGTTATCCAGTAAGTAACACCTTCAGTGGGTGATGCTTACTGGTTACGGTTAACTGTAGGGTACAGGTAGAAGACAGCCTGGATGGAACAGCTCCCATCTGTGGCAGGTCCATCCCCGCACACTGCAGGCAGAGGCGCTCCAGCCCAGACAGAGTGGTCTCCACCTGCAACGAGAGTGGAGGGGGCAAGGTGTGTTCCATCCTGACCAGAGCAACTTCCCACCTACCCCCCGTTAAAGCAGTTAACCCTTTAAACATAACGTTTAACCAGTTAACTGATTAAATAGGATTTTACATCCTTAGCCCCAAGTATGTGTTCACAAAAGCAACACTGGACTACTCCCTTTAGAAAGGCTTCATCTTTTGTAAATGATTCTATTACTGCAGAGTAGCAGCCTTCTCACTGTAGCCTGTTCACAAAGCTTTTTATTTGAATGTTCATCAGGCAAAAGGGAGCAGTTGCCCGGGCCCTTTAAATCACCATCTTGAGTGCCACACAGAGAGATCCGGGCAGCTCCGAGGTCTTGGAAGAGTGGGGGAAGGCGCAGCACACTCTGGGAAGCACAGAGGGTTGGGTGTCCCACCTCTTCCCTGCAAGGCTCTGCCTCTTCCGGGAGCACAGAGCCAGCCCTCCTTCCCGCCCCACTCAGGGACCCACAGAGGCTGTCACTGCCCCTGACGATTATTGATATAGACTCACAATACAAACATAAGATTGTAAACATCTGAGAAACCATCTCTAACAGGCTAGCACTGTTCATCAAGCTGGTAAATGTTATACTGACTCAAAGGCATTCTCTACATCCGTGGTGTGCAACATGCTAACCACTAGCCATATATGGCTATTTGGCCTGTTGAGTGTGGCTAGTTCACTATAGCAGGAGTGGCTACTGTTTCAGAACTGGTTGGACACCACGACTCTAACTTTTCTCCCTAAAATTCTTCACCAGGCCTACCAGTTGTGGGTCCAATAGGGTCTCCTTCCCCACTAATGATTTAACTACTGTGTCACCTAAATCCACCAAGAGCAGGTGATTTAGGAGACGTGTCTCATTATTGCTACTAGCACCAGTTGGGCTTTGGAGGCAAAGCCATGCTTAAAAAACTGCTGACCCGAGCAGCTTTGTCCTAGCCAGACACAAGGGAAGAAAAAGAGGCTTGAGAAGGGTGTGGGCTGAACACACGGAAGAAAGAAACTACAGGAGCAGGCAAGCCTGTGAAAACAAGAGTTCAGCTCACATCCCATACAATTCAATATTAACAACAAAACCAAAGCTCCCAGAAGGGGTGAGCATTTTAACACAGTGACAACTACAGGAGAACTTCAGTTATGAACACTTTGGTAATGGAGGTTATTCATAATTTTGAACAAAATGTTATGGTTGTTCTTTCAACAATTTCCAAATGAACACTGATTTAATACAGCTTCAAAACTTTACTATTCAGGAAAAAAAAGGCTGCTTTTAAGCATCTTAATTTAAATGAAACAGGCAGATCTCATCAATTTTTTCCCCAAATTTCTAGTGTTTTTAATAGTTTACGTTAAGTACAGCATGCACGCACACGCCACTGCAGCTACATAATTGCATTCTTTAAGGAGGGATGTGGCTGATTGGCGTTCATAACACTGACTCCTACAGTGTGTCTGACCACAGCTTAGGACAGGGTGGACAAAGTGGCCGCAGGTCACCTCAGAAGGGGTGCCGCCACAGGCAGAAGGGGTGGGTCCAGGAGACTTCTTGTGCTTCCCTCCCATACCCAGGTTGGCCTGGGGTGGGGCAGTGGAAGACATCGTTCTCCTCCAAGCCCCCATGGCGGCTAAAGAGAGACATGCCAGATATTTTTAAAACAGCCAGCGTATCTCTTTAGCCGCTGCGTGCCCCTGGCAGAGTGGGGACAGGACACGAGATTTTGAGCGCTCCCCGCCCCCAGGCCTTGATTGGCCTAGGGATTGGGGAGTGGCAGGGCGGACACAGGCACAATCCATCGGCTTGGCAGGCCGGATCTTTATGGTTCGTGGAGGGCCCTTTCTTCCTCCTGTAGCCAGACAGACCCAACCCCCCATCTCATCCATCTTATTTGCCTCTCTGAGGTTCCTGAAGCATAGAAGGCAGAGAAGGACCAGTAAAATCAGTATAGTCTATGCTGGCTCATCTGATCCTGAGAAGCTGAAAACATAGATGTGAGGAGAGAGAGAGCGATTAAGGCAATAGGCTGGCCTTGAGGCTGCGAGGACTGCCCAGGCTGGCACCCATGTTGATTCGAACACACACAGTCCCTGGGAGAGGAATTTCCCACTGAGAAAAGAATGTCCAGTACTTCTAATTTAGTTCTCTCTCTTAAAAGTGTAAATTAAGTTCACAACTCCCTTGTAAGAACTGGTCTCACAAAAGACAGACCAGCACCATTTGGCCTGACAGACAAGAAAGAGAAATACGTGACCCCATGGGTATAAAGGTGGAACAGCAGAACACTCTCTTTTGAGTGTCATTCTACCCTCTACCTGCTGGTCGGGTTAGGTGTTTGACCTCCTGAGATTCTATGGGGACGCCCACCTCGTATTTTCGTCTTTCCTAGGAATTGAGGGACCGGTCCTGGCCTGACATGCTGGAGTCGAGAGGCACAGAAGGGGGTAAAAATTATACCTGGATGTGGTCCTCTATCTTAAGTGTACACATAGAAAGAGTAAGCTGTTACTTGGTACCATTATTTCTATTTTTCTATCTTTATCTTCTTTGTAACCATTTTTAAGATCTATATTTTGCTAGTAGTTAAGAAATAGAGCAATAGCCATTGTAACCATATGATTTATAAGCTTCTTTAATAAACCTGCAACTGTTTAAGTTTTAACCTGACTCCTTCAGTTGCTGTAACAGAACCAAGCACAATTTAAAAGAACTTCAGCCAGTCTTAAGGGACAGATATAGGGAGAGCTTGGGCGTTTGGATGTGTGTCACACCCAGGTGGCAGAATCCACTGGGCATCTTTCAGTCTTTCCCCAAGGCTGCCCGCTGCGAAGGAATTACGAATTCTAGCAGCTGAAATCTAAGGTGTTATAAGCTCTCCCTGTACACTTATCGGGCCCCCGTCAGCCTCCTCCAGGTTGCCTGCTGCAAGGGACCCCGGTCTCAGCAGTTAAAGTCTCGGGTGTATAGCACGTACACACTGCCCTGACCGTCGGCTGACACCTCCCCGGTTAGGAAATGAAACCATGTAAACATTTTCTAGATGCAATGAATATATTTAGACTTAAACTACCATTATTCTTCAATTATAGCCACCAACTGCCCACATTTAGTCCAATGATTTAAAGGTGCTTGTTCTTAAAACAGCAGATATTAAAAGCTTTAAAAAAATCAACTTACCTTTGCAGATTCATGTTCAAATTTCCTGTACATGCTTTGATCTTGTTTTGTGCTTCCAGATGAGTCATCCCCTCTGTACTTGTCCCATCAATGGTGAGAACCACATCACCTATCCCCACATTTGCTCGAGCTGCCTTGCCAGAATCGCTTAACTGCAATGTCACAAATTGAATGAGTAAGTAACATTCTTCTATGGGGCATGTTATTATTCTTTTAATATAAGTTCACAGTTATGTGCATGTGTACCTATATTTTGTATTCATAAACACACATTACACAGATGATAGAGGCACACACCTCTCACATAAGGTTATTCTATAACCCCACCGGTCTTTCTGATCCAGTAATAAAAAGGGATTATAGTCATATTTACCACTATGCATATTTACAGAGAAATTAGTTTAGGGTTTGGAAACACCCATTCTAAGAAACCAGGGGCCAACTTCTGTTTCAGAATCCAAAGGGGAAGGAAAGTGAGGTACAGTTGTGAATGAGATTCCCAACAAATAACTGCTATCGAGTAGTGGTATATGTTTGAGAGCCCTCAATTTATAGACCTTCAAAAAGGAGGTAGCATATTGTACAAGTTGACAATTATTTCCATATTTTCTGATGATTGTGAAGCAAAGTATGACCACCCTAGTTACAAACTATCAAACAAAATTAAGCATCGCTCCCTGCCCACCCCATCCAGTAATAACAAGCTATAGCTCAGGGGTAGGCAACCTATGGCTCGGGAGCCAAATATGGGTTAGCAGGGCACCAACCTGGGATGTAAAATTTTGATTATTTTGCTAATTGAATAAACGATGCAATTTGCATCAACTATTTGATTAGTTGATAAGGGTGCTTCCACCTCTGAAGTGTAGCAATAGCCCTAGGTGGAAGTGCCCTTATTGACTAATCGAGTAGTCGATGCAAATTAGCGAAATAATCAATTTGACATCCCTGCTTGGTGCCCTACTGAAATTCTTATCGAATAGTCAACAGACTAGTCCTTGCTGTCTCTGAGAAAAGCAGCAGGGGGGGAGGTTCTTCAAAGCGGCAGCACCGCGTGGAGCTTGGGGTCTGAGGGACTCCTCCACTGACCCCAGGCTCCACACGGCACTGCCGCTTTGAAGCGCCCTTCTCTTCCTCGGCTTTGCTGCCTCTTTCTGATAGAGTCAGCATGTTTGATGGTGGGGAGGGGGGAGCAACTAGTTGACTAGTCATTCATAGCCCTAGCAACAAGTATGGCTCTTTTGGTATATTTGGGTGCCTTGTCTGCCGGAGCTGGAGCTGGAGCTGGGCTATGGTGTGGCTTTTACTGGGGCCGGGGCCGCAGTGTAGCCCCAAGTGCAGCCACACCACAGCCCTAGCTTTACCACATGGCCCTGCCCTAGGAGCAGCCACGCTGCTCTGGCCCCAGCTTCAGCTCTTCCCCAGGGCTGGAGCTGCAGCCAGGAAGGGCCACGTGATGGCAGCCTGGTTGCACCCGGAGCAGGACCATGTGGCAGGTGGCTTGCTCCATGTACTGGAGGTGGGGCCAACGCCATAATGCAGCTGCTCCCATGGTAGCTTGGAGAACAAGGCCCCCAATCAGGACCCAGCCCCCATCTGGCCACAGCATCATGTCCCCTTCCCCAATCCTGGGGTAGACACCATGGTCCGGCCCCCATCTGGCCACAGAAAGGGCTGACCAGAGGCGGTCCCCCCTCCTCCAGCATGGGTAAGAGGGTAAGCCATGATCTGGTTGCAGTGATCCTGGTCTGTCTACTCACCCAGCCACTGCTGCCAAGCTACGGCAACCCAGCCTTGGAAAGGTAAGGTAATCTGGTCCCACCCTCACCCCCATTTACTCTACTCCCAACTCCCAGTGCCCTGCCCTGCCTCCTGCACCTCACACATACCATCAGCCCCTATCCTGAGCCCTTCATACACTCCACCCCTAACTCCCACATCCCCACATCCTAGCTCCCTGCCATAACATTCCTGAACTCCCCCACACCTCAACACCGTGCACTGAGCCCCCTGTACACTCCAACCCTGATTTCCACATCTCCAGCTCACTGCCATAAGATTAAGAGAAGACAGCCTGAATGCCTGCATGAAGCTGGATTTGACCAATTATGATGTAAACTTCAAAGAAATGTGCAAAAAGATGTACTCACAGACTATGTTGCTGCATTTCATATTTTAATCATCATATCACTTAATATTAAGTTGCATATTTTCAGCCATGCAAATGGGCATTTGTATATAGCTCTTTGTTGACCACTTCTTCTGAATTTCGATGTAGTTTGACTCTTTGGTTTGAAAAAGTTGCCGACTCCTGCTCTAGCTCCTCACCCAAAACAAGTCAAAGGATTACTAATCCCCAACCTAGAACAGGTGGTGACAAAAAATGAGTCACTCCCTAGAGGTGCTCATTTCACCTTGTGACTTCATTGCAGGGGAAGGGAAATGGAGAGATACATTGAGACATGCAGATTGGACTCCACGACCTCCTGCGGTCTCTTCCAACCTACGATTCGATGGCCTATGCATGTTTGGCTAGTTTTGCAAATTCATTAATAGTAATCCATAATTCTTACCTTTTGTATAGCCCTTTTCACTGGTAGATTTTGAAGTGTTATTGCTGTATATGTACATCTCTCAAGCCTAAATACCGGATTCTAAGTAGCATGCACCTATTTTATAGGTACATTGCTGAGGTCTGCAACCTTCGGCATGTGGCCCATGCATCAGGGTTGCTGCCCCCCTCCCTGATCCCCTCGGTAGGGCAAAATCCCGGACATTTTTTGCCAAATTTCACTTCTGTTGATGTACCGCCCTCCCCAGACTTCTCTTGCGTAACCCTAAGGGTACACATACCATTGGTTGAGAAATGCTGAGCTAGTCAATGGAGCTGATGGCCCAGGAAAATAGAGAACACCTCTAAAAAACTGAAACATCTTAGGAGGGAGGAAACCCTATCCCAAGCTGCGGAAAGTTTTTGTTTTGTTTTTCAGAAGTGCAATCACATCCATACCATGTGTTAACGTATGGAAGAAAAAGTATATGGAATTGAAACAACAGAACAGGCTAGATAGAAAGCCAACTAACTTTCCATAAATCTCTCCCTGAATCTTGGTGTTATTAGTTTCAGTGCTGTATTTACAATATGGAGTACATTTCCACCAAATCTAAATTACAGCTGTAAAACCTAGTTATATTTCACATTACATATCCTGCTTAATAAAAAGCATATTGTTCACAAACTGCAGAAATGATCTGAAACAGAAAAGTTAAAATATCCTACCACTAGACTTAGGATACCACATACAGTCTGGATAGCTCATTTCATCCAGGACCAGCGAGAGGGAGATAATGCCTGCCTGCCTGCCAAGGCCAATCATTGCTGGCAACAGCCACCCCTCAGATTACTGCAAGCCATGAAGTCAAAGATTTAGTCCAGTGGTGGGCAATCATTTTTGGCCAGGGGCCACTTCAGAAATTTGGGGAGGGGGCCTAAACCAGAAGGGGCAGGCCAGGATGCTTCTGGGCTTCCCCACCCCCAGACAATTATTGTTCTGGGGGTGGTGGAGCCCCTTTTCCCCCTCCCCTTTCAATTGGGCACCTATGCCCTTGGCAGGGCGGGAAGAGGCGTCACACGCTCCTCCACCTTCAGGTCAATCAGGACCTGGGGGCAGAGAAGCGTGCGAAGCGTCCTCCCTCCCTGTGAGGAACACCTGGCACTTTGAAGTGCCACGTGCTCCTCGAAGGGCTGGGGCAGGACGAAGGAAGCTTCACGTGGCTCACCTGTCCCCAGGTCCTGATTGGCCTGGGGGAGCGCACAAAGTCTCCTCCCACCCTACCCGCTACCTGCGAGGAGCACATGGCACTTCAAAGAGCTCTCTCTCAAAAAAAAAAAAAAAAAATCAATACATACGAGTCATGCAGGTTCTGGTGCAGCTCAGGATCTGACCCATTACTTTTGCAGGAATAGAAAGTCATATGCAAATAACTAATCTTTGCTAAATCAGCTTCTTATAGGCACTTTTTGGAAGAGCCATAATATATTATTATAGTGCTTAGTATAGCAATGCTGTTGGCACAGCTAGCAGGCTAGATAGCCAGCCTTAACACTCACTTCTAAACTAAGACATGGTATGCCAAATTTAAGTCCAAATCATATTTATGCAGCTATGTTACAAGAAATCTAATAAGGGGTTTATAATGGAAATGCTGACACAACCAACTATAAAAAGGTGTTACGAGGCGGCTCTGTAAATAAATTCAAGGTTTCTCTTGGCCCAAAATCTAACCAGCATTGTAAACATTTAAGGCAAGTCACTGTTGGTTATTCTCCTATGCATTCATTAGTGTACATACGGTTTCAACTGCTAAAAATGCCACAAAACTCAAACACTTGTAATTTAATTGTGCAGTTTACAACTGCACAATTAATGGCCTACATTTCTGTCTACACTTTTAGCACTGTTTAGAAACCAATTTACCTTCAAAATCTGAAAAGAGCTGGAACAATTTTAAATATGATAAACAATGTACAAAACAATAAGGGCAGACCACATATAAAGGAATAAATGCTGCAAGTCAAGTTAGAGAGGAAGTTAAAAGGCAAAATAAATTATTTTTAGAAGTTGATGTGCTGTGGTTCTCAAATTTCTGTAAAAACCACCACCAATAAAGAGATACTTTTGAATTAATACTGCTTTTACAAATAAGTACATCTAGCTTATTTTGTGTGTTGGAGAGCTTTCATAAAACAATATAATGGTACGATAAACATTTATTACTATATAGACTTTAACTCATCCTTAAATTTCTATATTGGATGTGAAATTCAACAGTACGCTTTTTTAAAAAAAATGTTATGTAACGAAACATATAGTTTACAACTCTGCTTTGTCTTAGGCATTTGCCAAGCCTCCAGTTTCAGGCTTGGTTAACTTGTGTCAGTATAACATCACTACTCAGGAGTGTGGAAAGTAGCTATATTTACCTAAGCCTCAATGTGGACAATGCTATGTTACAGTAGGACTTATCCCTGTCTGTTGTGGGGGAAGAGAGAAGAGTCCTGTACCAACATGAGAGGTTCTCACTGTAAACATAGACAAGCCCACAGAGTATCTTTACAGTGGAATTCAAGACCTGTGGCATGGGGTCCCAG